GTCTAAACATTATAAAGATATATTTTTTAAAGCTTCTGTAACAAAAATAGAATATCAACACACAGGTTCATTTTAACTCATAGATCCTTCTTATTCCTCTGAATTAATTTTAATTAAATGCATACTTTAGCTTATGTAATCACATTAATGTTGTTTTAACTTGCAGAGGTGCGCTTTCATTTAGTAGTTTGTGCACATGTGTAATAAAAAGCCAAGGAATATTGCTTTGAAGTGGTTTTAGATATATAAAATCACACGATTCTACATTGTTTAATTGCATCTTTTATGCAGAATACACATTTTTATATTAAAAAATGATTTGTGTACTTTGTGTACATTTCTCAACATCTTAATGAATGGTGTATTTTAGTGAAATCTTTAGCACTTTTCATAAACTAAAAAAATATTTTTTAGACTCTTGTTTAGTTTTTAAAATGTATCTTATATCTGTCATTTGAGCACTGATTGTTGTTTTATGTTGTGTTTGCTGAGCAGAGAATGCAAACAGAAAAGTAAAATACTAATAAAACTGAAGGTAAAACATCATTATTGTGAATTTATTTGCTCATTCTCTTTATTCATCGTCTTGAACACAGGCAGTCATGGATAGCACAGTAACAACAAGACTGGTTGTTGTGATGATGCAGAAGAAAATGAGGTTGAGGAGATGAGAAACAGCGACAAACTCTGAGGCGTTTTCATCACCGTTCTGCAACAAACCTCAGCAGACGAGGCCTTTTTTATTTTCGTCGATTCGTCTTTTCTTTTGTCTTATTTTTTTTGTCATTCCTATTTCTGTCTTTCTCAGATCTTTCCTTTTTTATGATGTTTCCTTTTAAAGAGGAGCCACTGACGTCAGTAAAAACACCTGAAGATCGATCCTGGTGTGGTGAGCTGGAGCGGCATGAGCTCAGGAGTAGGAGGAGGTCGTTGTGAGAGAGGAAGAAGCAAAGGGAAGAGAAGAAGAAGAGGAGGTAAGAAGGTGTGAAGAAGAGTCCTTCCCTCTCAGCTCTCTCAGTGCTGGATCCTCCTGATCGACTGAATCTGGGGAGTCTGGGCGTGGGAGCCGAACTCACGGTAACACTTGTACTCTCCTCCGCGACAGTCGCTCTCCATGATGTACTGGTGGCCACGGTACCCAGGGTACTGGTAACACACAAAGCTGCAGGAAAACACAACGTCAAACACTGAGCAGAAGGTCTCTGTTGGTAGAGTTTCAGGTCTGTGTGAAGATAAACTTACGCTCCACAGTGAATCTGCATGGATCCAACCTCTTTGTTCATCCAGCCCATGGCCTGCAGAGAGGGGTAGTCATCGCACAGCTCGAACTGACGACCCATCATGTTCTCCATCTCGTAGATGGTCATACGGGACTCCTTGTGGCTCTGTGCGAAACAGCAAAAACAAAGTTGTAGCTCAGCTTGAGATGAGCTTAGCAGCAGCTGAGGATGATTCGATGTACGCTGAACCTACGGCGCAGCAGATGGGCCTGAAGGACATCATCCTCTCGATGCGGTAGGAGTTGCTGCCGCTGTAGGCCTCAAAGCGAGGGTAGTCGCCCTTCTCCAGCACGAACTGCTGGCCACAGAAGCTGGAGTGCTCGTAGCCCACCCAGCTGCAAACCAAAGCAAAATATCGAACTTTCAAGCCGAAAGATGCTCAATTTCAAGGTAAAAAGGGAGCTGAGTGGATACCTACGCGCCACACTCGACCTTCAGGGAGCGAATGTTCTCCATCCCACACTCCATGATGTTCTGGCAGCAGGCGGTGAACTCCACACGCCGGCCCTGGAAGTACTCCTGGTCGTACACGGTGATCTGAAAAAACAAATAAAATGAAGGCTTGACTCTGTCGATCCGTAAAACCAACACTCGAAGTGAAGCTGGACTCATTTTACCTTCCAGGGGCCCGTGGGCATGGGGTTGGTCTGAGCCATGTTGTCCTGTTTGTTTCAGCAGTACCTGTGGAGAAAACCCTCATGATCAGGATGAGGAGGAAATCACTCTCCAATATACACATATTTTATATTTATTTGTCAGTAAATTGAATCTGAAGCACATTAAATCCCAAGAAAAGTCAAAAATATGCATTCTTGATTATAAAGATGAACTTTCTCAGTAAATTGGGGTCCAAACTCGTCCACAGATTAGATTAGACTATTGTTGACTGTTTGAACTACCTACCCAAACTGGTGAGTAGCGTGGTGCAGGGTTCCACTGAACAGCCTACAGAAACATTGTGTACGGGGGGTTTATATACACAGAGGGGTGCCAGGGGCCGCGGGGGCCGGCACGCCTGGCCTCGTGTCAGCACTTTGCTTTGGGCTCCCATTGTTTTGTTGCGAGGGCCACCGAGGGGTTAACACACAGACACACGTCGATTCATGCAGAAACACAAAGAGAACACACCGAGTTACACACACCACCGCTGTGGCTCATCCACATGTTAGAGTATCTCCAACACACACTACATGCTAACAACACGCATGAGATCATTGGTGTGAAGGTGGAGGCCGACATGCGTTACATATTTCATGTGTTTATTCTCCGTGGTATTTGGGATGATTCTGTGCTAAAAACTGGAAATTCTGAGTTTTAATTCAGTCATTTTTAACCTTCCCCTTCGCAAGTCAAAAACACACAACACTACTGTGAATTAAAACAGAAAATAGCTAATAAACAGTGTAAAGAATGTAAAAAAAGGGTAGAAGCAAAGGTTTTTCAAACCTTCACTTTTTTTTACATTATTTAAATCAAAAGAGCAGCATCTTTCCTGTAAGTTTTTTCTAAAGAAAATCTCCTAGTCTGTAAAAACTCATAAATGACAACAGACCTTGCTGTATTTGTGTTTGTTTTTATACATTTTTTAATTTAAAGAATGAAAAGCACAGATTTAACTTAATTCAGAATCCCTCTAACAGAAAATTGTTTTTA